CGCTCTCGTTTATTTATGATGTTCATATTCCCCAAATAAATATCATTTTTAACTAATTTGTTTAAGCGACATGTTCCTTTTAAAGATTTAGCTCTCCAGTATAAATCCCTAAGACCGTTATTTATTATTCATTTCATATCATTAAATACGATTTTTCTCACAGAATACTGATTTCTATTACAGTATCACAAAATAATTGCAAATATGAAACTTCTTTACCTCTTCTTGAACATTCGAATTTCATAGCCTTAAACCGTGTACCTGAAAGTATTTCATTGAACTTATGTAGAAGATTTTACTACTTCCTAAAAGACTCCGTGTGATATTTGATAGCCTAAAAAACAGTGTGCGGATACAGGGTTTCGATTTATTTACGAAACTAATCTGACCAGTTGCTGCATTGTTTGACATTGATTTTCAAGAAAATAAAACTTCTGTATTTCACATCATTTGAGAGACACGTAGCTGAATATTAACATACGTTCATTATTTAACTATTCGCAATAAATAAAATTTTTGTACGTAAATAACGTGTAAGTAAATTCATATGTAAAAATTTACCAATTGCCAGAAGGTAATTGTTCGTGCGTATTAAGATTCTTATAATAGGTAGTAAAACTATTTATACTCCCATATAAATTATAAATATTGTTGCGTGGACGCGGCATGACTTCCGAATAAATAAAGGGCAATATTAAAAAAAAGGAAGAATTATTTATTTGAAGAGGAGGAGTACTTATCTTAACACGTCTTTTCCATTCTATAGTCGTATCACGACTCTACTCTGTCTCTGTTTTGGCGTTGTTACCAAAAGTCTCTCGCTTTAACATTATACAATACGTGCTACCTATCGGGTAACACGTAACAATATGTAAATGTTAATAAAAGTGGTGTATATATTCTCCCACGTGTTGATTTGATAAATTATTTATGAAACTACATCTATTCTGAATTTATCTGTTACAAATATCCAAATGTAAGGCAAGATATAAAAACGAATAAAACAAGAACATATAAAAAGTAACATTAGTAAAATGTCCATTAACGATACATTTAGAATAAATTATCTTGTAGTTAAGTGAAAAAATATATACTTTTCCGTTTCATGTTTCATGACTGTCATATTTATTCCTTAACTTTAAACTGAAGTATCGAATATTTTTATTCTCGTCAAATCACGCAGTGTACGCAATATGAATGGAATATATAACACTTCATTTGTGCTAATAATACTCAGGATTCATGCTTTATCGGTAACGTCGGGTATTGACACTAAAATGGTAACAGGGTTACGTAGCCACATGAACGTGGGACAGAAAAGTCTATTCTATACCTAGTCGGTGCTTCTACCTCCTTTTCTAATTACAATCATATACCTCAATTTGAATTTCACGCTTGTGAAGCTTACGCTGGACGCCGCTACAAGATGAGGGCGAGATTCACAACAGGGGGCTTCTGACGCGCTCGAAGCATGGGACAGAAAATTACATTGCATGTTACATCATTTGAAAACTGCATGTAGCGTCCTCTGCTTATGGACAGCGTTCAATTCCCAAACTATTCTAAGATGGCGCCGTGTTTGCATGTATGACTGATGTATGACTTGTTTAGAGCGTGAAGCAGGAGGCAGGTATCGTCACGCGGTGTTTTAGCTTATGGCTATTTGATTCTATTACATTAAATATATTACACTTGTTGTAAGCACATACATTTATAAGTAATTCATAACATTTGCGAAATTATATAATATCTTTAATTGTAAGTAAAATGTGCAGAACATAATTTCACTGAGGTTAGAAAACTAAGAACAAAAATTTATATGAATTTCCAAAAAATTATAGATTACAACTCATATACAGATTCCAAGTTAGTGTGTTGTGCTTTAATAATTTCATGAAACACCTTTAATAAGTTTGAGGAACACTAGTGTTAAGAAGCACTGACATATATTCTATATGTATATTCCTCATATTCTGTATACTATTTTGTTCTGTATATTTTGTAAAATTTGTAATACTCTAATGTATGGTATTTGTATTCTTTATATGATATTATATATATTTGACGTGCATATATTTTGTGTGTTCTGTGAACTTTTAGAAGTATTACATACTTCTTGTAAGTGTAGTCTGTATTCATTTCGTGCATAATTTAATCTTATAATAGAAATATATTATATACATATACGTGCCTGTATAACAAACAAGGAATATTTAAATATTGTATAAATATAGCTCTTCAATATTTGTAAACACACGGTGGATGATGTATTTTACCAAGCATGGTATGTGTCGCGTCCGTCCGCGTGGATTTCTCTTTCGAATCCGCCTGGAGTTGTAAATTCCAGGCTCGACCGTCGTGGTACGCGTCCGGTTGCGACTGTTGCCCGCCAAATTAATATTAGGCAACTGTTTCAATATTCTCTGCTGAGAAAACCTAATGATTGCTCGACTGTTGGAGCTGACGAATCGTGATGCGAATGTTGTCGAATGAATTGAGTCCGTGTGACTCTAGTCGTAACGAGTGCGAGTTTTCGAATGATTGCGTCGA